GGTCGTAAGTCAAGGAGCACCTGTATCTCAGCAGCTTCCACCCGAGATCAAAGATGGTGCTTAGATTATATTCTCTCTCTCTCTCCTTGTCCCTCCCTCTATCTCTCTCCCTCCCTCCCTCTCTCTCTCCCTCCTTCTCTCTCTCCCTCCCTCCCTTGGTCTACCCCCTCTCTTTCCCTCCCTCTCTCTCCTCCTTCTCCCTCCCTCTCTCTCCCTCCCCCTCTCTCTCTTTCCCCCCCTCCCTCCCTCCCGCCCTCTCTCTCGCCTGCAGCTCCGTCGGCGATCTCCATCATGCATCAAGTCAGCCGGATGGTGGACAGCATCACCCTCTCGTGGTCTCAGCCGGACCAGCCCAACGGGGTCATCTTGGATTATGAGCTCCAGTATTATGAGAAGGTATCAAGGAGGGACGCGGTGCCTCAGCGGCTAAGAGACGCTGAGCTTGTCGATCAGAAAGGTCGGCAGTTCGGCGGTGCGAGTCCCTAGCGCCGCGTGACGGAGCGAGCTCCCGTTCCTTGTCCCAGCTTCCGTCAACCTAGCAGTTCGAAAGCATGTAAGAAATGCAAGTTAGAAAAACAGGCAACCACCTTTGGTGGGAAGGGAACAGCGCTCCGTGCGCCTTCGAAGGTGGTTAATCCCGCCGGCCACATGACCACGGAGACGTCTTCGGACAGCGCTGGCTCTTCGGCTTTGCAACGGAGATGAGCAATGCCCCCTAGAGCCGGGAAACGACTGGCATGGATGTGCCAGGGGAACCTTTACTTTTACTTTATCAAGGAGGACATTGGGGACACAGGAGTTGGAGCTGGGTCCATATTTGGATCGTGGCCTCCGTAACAAAGTCCTCCTCGGGGTGACTCCATCACGGATTGGTCATGGTATCTTCCAAGAACGGTTGGGTTGCTTAAGCGTACCAATGTTGTTATTCTCCATCATGGTTGTCTGTGCAGATACTCCGTCATCCCAGAGGTGCTTTTTTATTTTTTTATTCCAAGACGCAACTGGGACTTTCTGCTTTTTTTTTGTTTTGAAGACGTTTTGCTTCTCCTGCGAGAAGCTTCCTCAGCTCTGAACGAAGGAATGGAAGGATTGATATTCCTTGCAGACAGCTGGTCATTTGCATTATTTGAGAGAGTCCTTGAGGCCACTTGGAGATTTATCTGTGTTCTTTCTTCTTTTCCCTTGAAAACATTTCGCTTCTTGTCCAAGAAGCTTCTTCAGAACTGAAGAAGTTTCTTGGATGAGAAGTGAAAAAAAAAATCCAGTTTATTTTTTTGGGGGAGGGAAAAAAACACACCTCTGGGACGTACAGAGATAATCTCACATGGACCATAAGATCCTACCCACCGTTCGTGTTTAAATGTGTTTATACTGAATTAATCCACATTTATCCGGGGGACGGTAAGGAAAACTCTCCCATTTGCAGGAGGAAATAAATAGATTTTGGACACGAGGATGGGTCTTATTTTTTTTAAAGGCTAATTAAAATCGCGTTTAAACGGAGACACCGCTCACCCTCCCCACCAGAGATTACCAAAGCTGCATAATTCGTTCAGTGACCTATTTTTGATTGCCAGGAGAAAAACCATTGCAAGGGTTGAGGGGGGGGGGTTGAGGAGGGGGCATCTGATGCTGCATAATTTATCCTGCTGTTTTGCAGAATTTGGCAGTCTCTTCTCCCTCCCAGCCTGGCTTCCTCACGGCAAAAGGAGAAATATTCCTCTTTTCCAATGCTTTCCCCCCCTCCCCGCTTTTTTTTTGCAATCACACACACACACACACAGATTGTGTGTGTTGTGTGTGTTCACCCTTTTCGCAAGGCCATTTTTTTTGCAAACGCCAGCTGGAAAATTGCCTGGGTGGTGGTGCCGAACTCGGGGCTTTGGCGAAACCGATCTTTTTATATTGACATATTTCTTTCTAAAATAGTTATGCATTTATTTATTTTTATAGAAAACCAGAAAGTTATTTCTTGGTTATTGTGCTGTTTTGTTTTATGTTTTGTTTTTCTCCTCAGTTCAGTAGTGGCCGATTCTCAGAGTTCCTATGTGAGGTCGGGTTTTTTTGGCCAGGTTTTTCAGACGTGGTTGGCCATTGCCTCCTTCCCAGGGTTGAAAGAGATTGGCTGGCTCAAGGTCACCCAGCTGGCTTGACGGCCAGGGCAGGACTCAGCCTCCTTGGTTTCTAGCTGGATGCCTCAACCACCGCCCCAAACCAGCTCTTGGTAATGTCCTCAACGTAGGACCACAATTGATGTCGCTAAGTGAGGAATCGGTTGAGTTTTGCCCCCCTTTTACGACTTTTGGCCCAGAGGGGGGAAAAAATAAAAAAATAAAACAGGCTCCCTTCATGGAATTAAGTCAGCGGTGGACAGCTGTTGCCCAATATACTGTATATCGTTTTTTATTTTTTTGCACCGAGTCAGGGTTGGGCTGGATGACCTCACGGGGACCCCTTCTAATTCCAAGGTCTGATTTCTCAGCCCCATGTTGCATTATCCATCTGGAGGGGGGGCAAACTAGGGAACCCATGTTATTTTCCTGGCCAAGAATTATGTCCCCTTCTCTGTTCTTTTCCTCTTTTACCGGAATAACCGTCATAGTTTTTTTTTTCCCCCCCCCCCCCCCCCCCGGTAGGACCTGAGCGAGTTCAATGCCACGGCGGTGAAGAGCTTCACCAATACGGTGACGGTGCCAAACCTCAAGGCCGGAACCATTTACGTCTTTCAGGTGCGAGCTCGCACAGTGGCCGGCTACGGACGCTACAGCGGGAAAATGTACTTCCAGACGATGACGGAAGGTGAGTGGCAGCCCCACCTCCCATGCTCCCCAGCCACTCATTTAGTGACGGTTCAAAGTTACCACGGCCCTAAAGGGACTTAGGACTGTGTTTCCCATTTTACGGCCTTTCCCGCGATTAAAATCTGGATGCTTGGCACAACGGACTCGTGGTTATGACCGATGCCACATCCCAACATGGGGGGAGGTGAGGGAGTCGCCCTGGGGCAGGGGCCTGGGCTGGATGACCTCGGAGAGCCCTTCCAATCTTTCGATCCCTCGTTGATTTCGGGATCTTGTTTGAAATCCTGCGCCAAGCATGGGGTTGGACTGGATGGCTTCCCGGGGGCCCCTTGCAACCTTCTCCCTGAAGGATTTCGTGATCTCATTTAAAAATCCTGCACCAGCATGGGGTTGGACTGGATGGCCTCCCGGGTCCCCTTCCAATTTTTCCCTCAAAGATTTCCTGATCCCATTTAAAAACCCTGCACCCAGCATGGGGTTGGACTGGATGACCTCCCGGGTGCCTCCCGGCCTCCCCTTTCTGCGATGCTAAGACTTCCTAGCTAGCAGGAGTGGCTCTTGGCCGAGGCCCGCCCTGGCAGGTAAAACTTGGCTTAGTTTAATTGCCCTTTTCCGCGGTGTCGTTCCAGCCGAGTACCAAACCAGCATCCAGGAGAAACTGCCTTTGATTATCGGTTCCTCGGCTGCAGGGCTGGTCTTCCTCATCGCCTTGGTGGTTATCATCCTGGTTTGCAACAGGTAGGCAGGAATCTGGAATGAGGGATTGTTCGGGGGGGGGAAAAAAAAGCAGGAACGTTTTAAACGGGCTTCCCATTTGTCCAAAATGGTACCTGCCTGGGTTGTGGGTTGGACTAGATGACCTCCGAGGTTCCTTCTAACTCGGTTACGCTAAGTTTCCTCTACATAGACACATATACACTCACACACACATATATATAAAGGAATAAATTTTCAAGAAGAGACTGGACAGCCATTTGTCTGAAATCATATAGAGTCCCCTGCTTGGGGGGTGGGGGGGGGGCTGGACTAGAAGACCTCCCAGGTCCCTTCTAGCTCTGTTCTGATTGATCGATTGATTCATGGATTGAAATGGTCAATCAAGGGGTTTGAGCAAGGGGCTGGACTAGAAGACCTCCGAGGTCCCTTCCAACGCTTTATATTATTACTTCCAAGAAGAGAGGGGACCGCCGTTTGCCTTGAATGAGATACGGCCTCCTGCCTGGAGGGTTGGACTAGAGGACCTCCGGGGTCCCCTCCATCCCTCTCTCTCTCTCTCTCTCCCATGTATCTGGGAGCTTAAGGGCACCCCACCCTCCGCACATACTCAGGACAGTTACAACTTCGGAACCACGCTGGGCCTTTGCGGGGCAAGGGGAGGGGGAGGGGGGTTTAAAAGGGGGAGGGGTCTTGGTTTGGGGGGCCGTCGGTGAGGAGGAGGAGGAGGAGTGGGGGGACCCGCTGCTGAATCCCAGCCTTGCCCCCCTGCTCTGCTAGTCCGTCGGCCTACCGCTCAGCACGATGCTCTCCTTCCAGACGGCATGGGTTTGAGCGCAACGACTCGGAGTACACCGACAAGCTGCAGCATTACACCAGCGGCCACAGTATGTACGAGTTACGGGGGGGAGGAGGAGGAGGAGGAGGAGGAGAGGGGAGGGGGGGGGGGGGGGGGGGGGGGGGGGGGGTTTGGGGGGGGTTAGCGGGGCGGCGCGGGGGGGGGGGGCGGGGGGGGGGGGGGGGGGTGAGCCAATGACCCATATTGGCTTCTTCTCCTTTTGAGTAGTTACTCCGGGGATGAAAATCTACATCGATCCCTTCACCTACGAGGATCCCAACGAAGCCGTCCGGGAGTTTGCCAAGGAGATTGACATCTCCTGCGTGAAAATCGAACAGGTGATCGGGGCAGGTAAGGCCCACCTGAGGGCAATGGAGGAGGAGGAGGGAGGAGGAGAACGACGACTGTGGGGTCCTTGGTGCTCTCTGAGCTGGGTGGTTTTCTTGCAGACGTTTCATGGCCCAACTAGGTTACATTATCAGTGCTAGAAGGGTGGGTGGGGTTGTGGAATGATGGAGGAGGAGGAGGAGGAGGAGGAAGACTGTGGGGTCCTTGGTGGTGTCTGAGCTGGGTGGTTTCCTTGCAGACGTTTCATGGCCCAACTAGGGAACATCATCAGGGCCAGAAGGGAGTGGGGGTTTGCAGAGTGGAGGAGGAGGAGGAGGGAGCCTTCTAGCCCTGATGATGTTCCCTAGTTGGGTCATGAAACGTCTGCAAAAAAAAAACCACCACCCAGCTCAGAGACCACCGAGGAGCGCCTGCCCACCCACGCCCCCGTTCAACCCTGAAATGTAGAAATGCGAGATTTCAGGGCGGGGGGATAAATGTCTTTTTTGGGGGGTGGGCTTGCTTTTCCCCCTCCCTCCCCTCTACCCCCCTCTACCCTCCCCCCACCCCACCCCTCAGGAGAATTTGGCGAGGTCTGCAGTGGCCACCTGAAGCTGCCGGGCAAAAGGGAGTCCTTCGTAGCCATCAAGACCTTGAAATCGGGCTACACCGAGAAACAGCGGCGGGACTTCCTGAGCGAAGCCAGCATCATGGGCCAGTTCGACCACCCCAACGTCATCCGCCTGGAGGGGGTGGTGACGAAGAGCCCCCCCGTGATGATAGTCACCGAATTCATGGAGAACGGCTCCTTGGATTCCTTCCTCCGGGTGAGAAACGACGGCGTTGCGGCCGGTCCACCCTCCCTCGCAGGGGGAACACCCTCCCTCCTTGCAGGACACGTTTCGCTCCCCAGGGAAAAGGGGGGGGTCTTGGGACTTGATGGATGGATGGATTGAAATGGTGTAGGGTCTCCTGCTTGGGGGAAGGGGTTGGACTGGAGGACCTCCAAGGGTCCCTCCCCGCTCTATTCCGATGCCTGGAAGTCAGTCAGAGACACCCAGAAGAGAAGGCTGAGGAGAACCCCCTCCCTTTCCCCGGTCCTGGCATCTCACGCCCCTTTCCTGTCCCCCTCCCTCGTCCTTTAGCAAAATGACGGGCAGTTTACGGTCATCCAGTTGGTGGGTATGCTCAGAGGCATCGCGGCTGGCATGAAGTACCTGGCCGACATGAACTACGTCCACCGCGACTTGGCCGCCCGCAACATTTTGGTGAACAGCAACCTGGTTTGCAAAGTCTCCGACTTCGGTCTCTCCCGCTTCTTGGAGGACGACACCTCGGACCCCACCTACACCAGCGCTCTGGTAAGAGGAAGGGCTGGTGGGACGAGATTTTGGGGGAGGTTAACTGAGATCAATGCAAGGGGACAAGCCAGGATTTGCCCCCTGTTCTGACCGAGGCTTCCTCAAAAGGCATCAAACCCGATCTCGAGTCCCGGCCAAACCTCTTTTATTTCCCGCGGCTGTGAATTGCGTTCAGGTACAGCCTGCAAGGCTTGGCCCACCGTCTTTCAGGGGAATGTTTACAAAAACACCCACCTTATCACACTTGGCATGCGGCCTGCGAGGACCCCAAGGGGCGTGGCGCAAAGGCAACCCAGTCAGATCATCAATAAGAGTCCCTTTATTCGCTCCAACTTTGCCCCCCAACATCCTGGTTACCTTCTGGGGTGGAGATAAAAACTCTCCCAGGAACAGCCTTGGGCTGCGGAGAATCAAGTCCAAAACATGGTCAACACAAACTGTCATTTAAAGTCCACTCAAGCCAAAATGAGGTCATTAGTTTGGCAGGGCAGGAGCAAGAATTCCAGATGTGAAGGCACAGCAAAATTCACACGGTTGGGAAGACACCGGCAACACAGATAAGCCAAGACAACACAGGATAAAGTCATGTTTGCTCCCAACAGATGCCGCACTCAGCTTGCATTTCTTTTAAACTCTCATTCCCAGGTGTGCCTAATGAAGGGAATCAGGGCCCTTTCCTCCCCCATAAGCCACGCAACCCACGTTGCTCCCTTCTCCGATCCTCCGTGTGTGCCCTAGGATGAAGAGGAGGTGGGCCTCGGTCTTCCTCTGAACTCCTTCTCCCTTGTTCTATCTCTTCCCTGCTCTGCCCAGCCGGACTGAGTGGACTTCAACTTCCAGACTTCTGGCTGAGGAATTCTGGCAGTTGAGGTCCACAACTCTTAACCTGGCCACAGTTGGAGACTCCCGCTGTAAGGCGCCCAGTCCTTCTCGAACCCCAGTTCTTCTCCTTCTCTTCACAGGGTGGGAAGATTCCCATCCGTTGGACGGCACCCGAAGCCATCCAGTATCGAAAGTTCACTTCTGCCAGCGACGTGTGGAGCTATGGCATCGTCATGTGGGAAGTAACGTCCTATGGAGAGAGGCCGTATTGGGACATGACCAACCAGGACGTAAGTCACAGCTTGGAAATATCTGAGGAATCCTTTGGGCTTGTAGGATGGGTAGAACCTCTGGTGATGGCATCTCCTGTAAACACCAGGGAGCAGAAAATGTGGGGTTTCCCCCCCCCCACCCCCAGAAATTATGGGTTGCTCATGGACCAGGGGAGAAGGAACCCGTGTGAGAATATCCTCAATGTTTCTTGGAGGCCTTAATCCCTAACTCAAGGTCTTTGTCCTCTATACTATGATGGTTTCTGGCCATAATAATAATTGATTGGGTGGGATTGGGTGGGATTTGTTATCTAAAGCACCTGGTTTAGTTGGTTGCACCAGTTCTATAGAACCGGTTGTTACGATTCTGCCCAGTTTGGAGAACCGGCAAATCGCACCGTCGGCTGGCCCCACCCCTCCCACTCACTCCTTACCTGGCAGGCGTGCCATCCAACTTGCCTGCTAAGTTGCTATGTTTCCTTTTTTTTCTCCCCGCTCCCGACCATCAGCTGTTCTGACTATCAGCTGTGCTGGGAGATTTAGATTAGCTAGAAAGCAGGAAATCGTTGGATTTCTTGCTTTCTAGCTAATCTAAAAGCAGAGCTGAAACCTTCCTAGCTTCTATTTTTCAGTGCAGACTCAGGCAGCAGATTGCAGAAAGATAGATCTCTGAAGGAATCTGTGATTCTGTGAGCAACTCAATCCGCCTGCCTGCTTTGCCTGATTTTGGGTAAAAGTTGCTCTTTTTTTAATAAAAAAAATCAATATTTATATAAATATTTACAATATTTACATACAAGCCACCCCCAGCCAGTCACGTGACCACCAAGCCAAACCCACAAATTAAGCCACATCCACAGAACCGGTTGTTAAGAAATTTGAATCCCAGCCCTGCGCTAACCTCTCCTTCAGATAACTTCAACCCATCTTCAAACCATACGATTGTATGGTCCTCAAAGTTGGAGGACAAATTTTGGGTCCTCCTAGGGTTGAACATTATTATTTTGAGCAATCCCAGGTCTCAAATCCCTTTCAACCAACAAGCAAGTTCAAGAGAGTGCCAAACACCCCTCATTTCAGCCCTGAGCTACACATAGTCTCCTTTTATTAGAACCCTTTCTCTCCAAATTTGCCAAAACCCTTCTTATGAAATGAAATGGTGGATGAGGGCAGTTGATTCTCTTTTGGAAATACAGATAGTCCTTGACAGGTGACCCAAAGTTTAGTGCCGACCATGGAGGGGAACATGTTGGAGCTTTGAATCTGGGCCTCAAGTCCCCTTTTGGGGATCAGTCGTCACTTAGAACGGTCCTAAGTTGAGAACTAGCCGTAGAACCAAAATAACAACAATGTCGGGAGCACTGAGCGTAAAATTGACACAAGGTTCAAGAGGTGTAAAAGTATGGATGATTCGTTGGCAGGTAATCAATGCGATCGAGCAAGACTATCGATTACCACCGCCCATGGACTGTCCGAGCGCTCTCCATCAGCTCATGCTGGACTGCTGGCAGAAGGACCGCAACCACCGGCCGAAATTCGGACAGATTGTCAACACCCTAGACAAGATGATCCGAAACCCCAACAGCCTGAAAGCCATGGCACCCCTTTCCTCAGGGTAAGGAAGGGAACTTTTGGGGTTTGACGTTGAAGAAGATTTCGTGTGTTCTTCGTTGGTTGGAGGACCTTCCTTGGAACTAAACTTTTGGGCTTTGATCGTGGAGAAGACTTTGAGTCTTCTTCGTTGGTTGGAGGACCTTCCTTGGAAGCAAACCTTTAGACCTTGATTGTGGAGAACTTTGAGTCTTCTTCACGGGTTGAAGGACTCAGACTTTGATACTGAAGAAGACTTTGTGTCTTCTTCGTTGGATGGAGGACCTTCCTTGGAAGCAAACTTTTAAAATTTGATCACGGAGAAGACTTTGAGTCTTCTTCATTGGTTGAAAGACCTTCCTTGGAAGCAAAATGGGTTTTAATTTGATTGACCTTGCAGGATTAATCTTCCTTTGCTGGACCGGACCATTCCAGATTATTCTACTTTCAATACCGTCGACGAGTGGCTGGAAGCCATCAAGATGGGCCAGTACAAAGAGAACTTTGCCAGCAACGGCTTCTCCAGCTTCGCCTTGGTTTCCCAGATGACGATGGAGTAAGAGCACCAAGCGTTAAAATTGTAAAATATTTCCTCGCCTGAAATCAAATGCGGGTAGTTCTCGACTTGCAACCATTCGTTTAGGGTCTGTAATTCACTTAGCAACCGGGGGGACTGATGTGAGAAGCACAGATTCCCTCAACGGCGGTGGTGAGGAAGGTTGTAAAATGGGGCGAAATTCACTTGACCCATGTCTCGCTTCACAACAGAAATGTTGGAGTTCAATTGTGATCGTAACTAGATCGCTACCTGTAAAATAGAACCATCAATCGGATAATGAAATAAATAAGATAAAGCATGATAGAATGGAATGGAATGGAATACAATACAAAATACAAAACAAAACAATACAAAATACAATATGGTATAATACAGTACAACACGAAATACAAAACAATACAGAATACAATACGATACAGTATGTAATACAAAATAATACAATATAAAATGTAATACAATCAATACAAAATACAATACAAAATCAAAACAATGCAATATAAAATACAATATACAATACAGTACAGAATACAGTACAGTACAATACAATACAAAATACAAAACAGTACAAAACACAGAACAATACAATATAAAATATAATACAATACAATGTAAAATACGATGCAAAATACAATCCAAAATATATTGTTTTGTATTATAATTTATTATTGTATTTTGTATTTTGTGTTGTATTGTGTTGCACTGTACTGTATTACACTGTACTGTATTTAGTGTTGTACTTTATATTGTACTGTGTTGTATATTGTAGTGCATTGTATTGTATTTAATACAAAATACAATTTAAAATACAATACAAAGTCCAATACAAAATACAAAACAAGAGAAAATACAAAACATAATACAGTACAGTACAAGACAAGACAAAACACAATACATTGCAAAACACAATATAGTACACTACACTACACTACAAAATACAAAACAATACAATACAAAATATACAGTACAATATAATAGAAAATACAATAGAAAATATAAAACAATACAATACAAAATATACAATACAATATAAAGTACAATACAAAATACAAAACAATATAGAATATAATACAGTGCCATGCAGTTCAATATAATAGAAAATAATATAAAATACAATACAGTACAGTACAATACAAACTACAAAACAATACAATACAAAATACAATACAAAATGCAATACTCTCTAACCTTCCCTGATCTTCTTTCCATCCCCGCAGAGATATCTTGAGAGTCGGAGTGACGCTGGCCGGACACCAGAAGAAGATCCTGAACAGTGTCCAGGTGATGCGGACGCAGATGAGCCAGATCCAGTCTGTGGAAGTTTGAGACGTGCTTCTCACACACACACGTCGGGTTACGGGTTTGGAGGTCCCGCTCCCTCGTTGTCCTGGAGCACGTCCAGGTTTCCTACGGGCCTCGGGGCTCCTCGAACCAAGACGGACACGGGAGCGCTGAGCCGCCACGGACTCTCAGCACACCAGGGCCCCCCCCCCCCCCCCGGATTTCTTATTTAGGAGACGTCGGCGGCGTGGACCTTCTCCTCAAAGGGCTAAAGTCGGGGAAGGGACGGCAAGCAGCCCTTCTCGCCCCCCCACCCCCTTCCACCCTGTCTGTCCTTTGAACGAGCCGTACCAGCGTCGCCGTCTACACAGGAGGTCCCTGGACGTCCGTAACGGAGCTGTGGAGGCTTCGTCTCATCCGGGGTTCGGTAGACATGGTCATTGGGCTGGACTGAAGAAGGGCCCGGAGACAGGAGGTTTTTACCTACAGATGGGTCTTTTGAAAACCCTCTTTTCTTTGAAGGACAGAAGCATTTTTGGGATTTCTTTTTTTTTTTTTACAAATTTTGATGTCCTCTTCGACCTTGTTTCCCGGAGCTTCCCGCGGGCCAGATCGGTCCTTGATCAAGTTGGGATCGGGTGGAATCTTGGCGCTTCCTGGAACCCTGTTCCTCTTTTTCCACCCCGAATGGCAGCTCCGACACACACTTGCCGTGGCTCACCAGGCCTTCCTCCCTTGTAGCGTGTTGTAGACTTGTCGTGCTTTTTTTTTTGTTGTGGTGGTTGTCCATGACTTCTCCTTCGTTTGCAGTGGGGGTCCCGAGGTGGTGGTGATGGGGGCTGTGTTGTTTTCGCCCTCCTCCGAATGCAAAAAAAATATTGTGTTTCTCCTCCCAAGGAGCCAGGCATTTGACACCAAGTTGCTCCCAAGTGCCAAATTATGGGTTTGCTCAAATTGTGGCTATCCTACCGTCGCACTCGCTGACCTTTTCATTCTAATTTGAGATGTGGTTCCCCCCACATCAGCCAGCTGGCTTATGAAGAGTCTTTTATCCAGTGTCTTTTATCCTTAGTCGAGCCATTTGAAAAATAGAATTCCCCAGGCAGCAAAATGGGCACTTCAACTCCCAGAATTCTCCATGTTGCCAAACTAGACAAAGGCTCTTGTTCTCGATTCTGCAGCCGGCATCCGTGGACTTCAACGCCCAGAATTCTCCACGCTCGCTGGGGAATTCTGGGCAGCGAAGTTCACACGGCCTGTTGGCTTTGGCAGCTGGGCTCTGCTCAGCGGTGGGTTTCAAATTTATTTTATTTTTTTTACCAATGGGGCGTCTGTGGGTGCGGCTTGGTGGACGTGCCGAATGCCCACTTTTGCAGGCGCGCAGAGGGTTTGCTGCTGACCTCCTGAAATCCTGCACTCTCCCTGTGTCTTCAACAGGGCAGTCCAAAGCAGGTGAGGCTGAAAAGCAGGAGATAAAGGTCAGCATAGAGCCATCGACAGGTGGGAGGGTCCAGCAGCTGATCGTCAGAGCGAACAAGTTTGCTCACAGACAATCGTCGGAGCTACCAGATCAGTCGAACCGGGCCAAACCGGTAGAATAGCACCACTGGCTCTGTTCTGTGAGTGCAAAATTCTCATTTTGCCCCCGTCTTTCATCTGTTTTACCAAACTCACGTCCACCTGTCCCGAGGCTACCCCATTCCACCGGACCAAGCCATTGTCAGGTTTCCAAGTGATGAAACCCATTTAAAAAGAAAAGAGCAAAGCCCCGTCTTCCAAAACGAATTTCTTTTATTTAGGAAAGCATCCAATTGGCAAAGTCTGTTGTAATTCCGGATCTGACACAACCTGGAATTACACCACGTACTATTGGAAATTAGAAACACTCAAAAGTCACATTCTCCAATAGAAGTAAATCAACGTTGCCTGATGTCCTCAATCTCCACCTCCAGGTCTCAGCAGGGTCAGCTTTCGTTCCCACGGAAAGGAGAACCACCTAGCCTAAACAACTCTCTCTCTCTCCACTCCTCACCCCTTAGGAATGTGGCAAACCCGAAACCCTTCCACCCCATAACCAGCAAAAGAGAAAGAAAAAAAAGGAATATATAATTAGGCTAAATAAAAAGGCTACGCGTAGGTCAGTTTCGGGCTTGACGGCAATAAAATGCCAGGCTTAAGGGGTACGGTGATCCTCCTGGGAGGAGGGTTTTGGTGCAAGAAAGGGGGCCGTTTAAGGAATTAGCAAAAGTGTTCCAGAGTTGGGAGAAACACCGTCAAGAACCTTTCATCTGGAAGGCAACATTTGGATAAATAGGTTACCACCTTCAAACCAGCTTTTGGTCGTCTGGATGTGGATCTAGTATGAAACGATGGAGAATGGAGAAGTGGCTGCAAAACAGGAGCGAGTATTTATTTAAAAAACGGAGAAAATTTGAGGTTTTTCTTCTCTTGTCTGTAATTTCTTTTTGGGAGGGGTGTTTGGAATCGGAGGGTCTTAAACTTTGGACATTCACGGCCCGTCGGACTTGAAGCTTCACGAAGATGCATCTCAACTCATCCCCAGGTCTCCTGCAACCTTTGTTCTTTACCCTGGACAGTATTTGTATTTTTTACAAAAGAATGACAAACAAAAAAAAAAAAAAATGTGAATAACAGGTGGGGTTTTTTCCCAGCCCTTGTTCCCCCCGCAAGGGTGTGTCTTCCATTCCAACCAGGCCTTCTCCGTAACTCCATCGGACTTCTTTGGGGAAAGGGGAGAAGGAAGAGAAAAAAAAAATGAAACTCAATGTATTTATAAAGACAACGCAGAACCCGTTGACTCCGTGATCTTTGTAGGAGTATTTTTAAACAAGACTCTTTTTTTCCAAAATAAATGTGAAGTGTGAACGTTTGGACCCGTTCTTTCTTTCCTTGAGTCTTCACCCCTTTACGTTTCCACGTCGAGGTGCTGTAAACCGAGGCAGAGAATGAAAATCACAGGAAAGGGTTAGGACCGCTTTGGTAAAGCCTTCGTAATAATGCCCCGCCTGGAATAATGCACCCCGTTTCAAACCCCCTGCCCGTGTCTTTTCTTTCTTTTCATTCTCTTTCCGTTTCTTTTCGAAAAACAAGAGTTCACCCGTCTTTAGCATGACTGTAGCCCTCCCCGTTTCGAATCCAGGATTCCCAACCGAAGGGCCTCCGTGATGGCGGTCCCGGAACCCGTCTTCCATCCGTTTCCAAAGCTTTCCATGAACATCAGGAGAAGACATTGAGGCTGTCTTCCTCCCCCCCTCCCCACGACCCCCTTTCTGCTGTCTCCTTGGGGGGAAGAAGAAGCCATCCATGCGTGATGCTTTGATCTTCTCCAATTAACTTTCCCCTTCTCCGAGAAGGATTTTTCACACCCCTGGACCGCTCAGCCAAACAGACCTTTGGAGGGTGATGCAACCTGGCAGGGGAGGAGGGGGGGACAGGGCAGCCCCCCAAAGGGGGTGGGGGGTGGGGCAGGGGGACCCAAAGACGACGCAGGTGTCCTGGCTCGATTCATCCCAAGCTCGGCCTCTAATTGGCTCAGAGGCACAAAAAAGGACATTGTTTTGGTCTTCTACGACGGGCCTTCCAGACCAGCTAGGAGTGGGTTTGCATGTTGACAGAGGAACGGAGGGACTTAAATCAGGTCTCACACACACACACACCCCGTTGATGGATATTACTCCTGATGGCCTCTTTCACGGTGTCAACGTGCGAAAGGGCGCTGAACTCTTGATGACTCCATCCTCTGTCTGAAGGACAACTTTCCATGGGTTCAAAAGTTCATGGCTCATCAAGACCGATCATCCTCCACATCCAGGAAGGGTGGTAGGGAGCGATGAGAGGGTTGGCCTTCAGCCCAACGGACTGGGCCTTCAGCGTTGACCTCAGGGGGTTGGTGGGACCCGCTTGTCCGGGAAGATGACAAACTAAGATTGACACCTCCAAAGGAGATGCCCCGAGCCTGCTCCTTGGCGGAGGGCGGTGGGCTTTCCAAGCCACTGAGTTGGAGATGGATAGAAAGGAGCAAACTGGGAGGAGCTACCTGCGAGAACGACAACCCTCCCCTCCTCCAACACGTGAAAAAATTGAGGGCAGAGACGCCGTCGGTAATCTACGTCCATCGCTGTAGGCTTCAGTTTAACAAACCAGGAGGTCTGTGGACCAACAAGAGGAGAAAAGAAAACCCAGGGTTTTCTCACGCATGGGAGGACTTCTGTTGTCAACCCATGACAGCTTGGCCTCTGGCCATCCATGGCTACATCCAAACGCATTTGCAATTGGGTGAAAGGAAGCCAACTTCCCAGGCCAAGATGTTGAGTTGATGGACCAGAGAAGGCAGCTGCCAAAAAAGCAGAACCAACCCTGCGTTGGTTGCGTTAACAAAATTTATTTTATTTTATTTGTCAATCACTTACAAGATAATATGTATAAGCATAAACATGAGTAAGAATACAGGAAATGGGGACAAATAAATGGGGACGATAGGACAGGGATGGGAGGCACGATGGTGCACTTATGCACGTCTTAGAAATGGGTATTCTCTCCCTTTCTCTCCTCCCTCCATTCCTTTCTCTCCTTCCTTCCTTCCTTCCTTCCTTCCTCCCTCCCTTCCTTCCTTCCTTCCTTCCTTCCTTCCTTCCTTCCTTCCCATCTATCATATTTTCCTTCCTTCCCGTCTATCACATCTTTCCTTCCTTCCCTCCTTCCTTCCTTCCTTCTTTCCTTCCTTCTTTCCTTGCTTTCCATCCATCACATCTTTCCTTCTTTCCTTCCTTTCATCCTTTCCCCCTCCCTCCTCCTCTCCTCTCTTCCCTCCCTTCCATAATCAATCAAGAGTCTGATATGGAAGCCCTAATATTTACATGGGAGAAGGAAGGAATAAATTGTATAGCTGACCAGCAGAGGGTGCCACAGATTTATGTGCTTGCTGGTCCTTAAAAGCAAAAGTAGACTTTAATTAAGCACAACTGGATGTCTCTAAAAATGGAACAAAAACCTGGTTTTTTTTCCCCCCTTTGTTTTGAGTGACA